AACGCTTGTAATCGCTCAATAAACACTGCATTCAAACCCATCTGGTGCGCAAAAAAGTTCTAAGTTTATTTATTGTTCAAGATGCCATTAGTTATTTTATATACGTATATATATATATATATATAATATATATAGTAAGTATAATCGCACGTATCGCGCACAGTGTTCGATGGACTGTCGACCGGTTCCAGAGACGCGGGACTTTCGCGACTTCCGGTATCAAGAACACAATCAAGCTTGTTTGTCATTCGTATTTTTTCTTTATACTTCCAACACGCGACGAAAAAGAGAGGAAAGAAAAGACCATGCCATTGCTCCTGATCGGAAGAAGGCAGCGGTATGTCGCAGCGTCCTTCCGAGATTGCCGACCGAATTATTTGTTTTCGTAAGAAAGTGAAGCGCGCCGAAAACAATATCGAAAATACGTGTACTCTTACCTCCGTCCTTGTCTGCCATCATTTATCCGCCGTAAGTTTATTAAGTCGAGAGAAAATTGAGGAGCGAAAGCCGAGCAGGAGCAGAGCGACCGGCCCGCCAAAATTGAGAAAACACGAGAGTGCCGACCAGTGCCGACACCGCCGACACCAACGGGACGCTAAAGTCCGATTTAGAATGCAGAGAGTGCAATAGCGCATGTCCCGTTCACAATGCAACGAGATGTGGTTGGCCAATATTTTATGTCCTAGATGCTAGAACGATGTTAGAAACCAGCCTGAGGTCTCGGACAAATAAATCATATTTTTTTTAACAATTCGATCACTTGACCAATGCAATTGTGATCAATTCTTTCTCCATCCGAGATCTCGGACCAATTTCTAATGTCACGGTCACAAGACTTTAGAATATAAAAATGTTCGGCTACAAAAAACAAATTTAAAGCTAAAAGAAAAAATTAATAATCGCATATAAATTCATTTGAATGTAATTATTATGAAAAGATTGTAGCCTATTATATTATATATTGTATAAAGCATTTATTATAAATATTAATTACTTTTTTAAAGATATATGTACATATTAAAAACCATAACGCAATCACAAGTCAATATATAATACTTTAGGAAATACCGATAGTAGTATTCCCTTATTAATATATGTAGAAGGATAAGAAAGATATTTTTTTAGTCATTCTATTTTATCATTCTTCATTCATTTCCTGCTTATTTAAAAATATAATAACATTTTCTGCTAATTCTCTATAAGCTTCTGCTTGTCTGCTCTTTGGTGCTGTCAAGACAATCGGTTTACCGCTATCTGAACTTTCCGCGATGTTCTCATGCATTGGTATCTTCTGTAAAATACCTACACCTACGACAAGCCCCCAAAAAAAAGACATTAATATATCTCTCATATAAATATTTGTACAGTTACAACTTATATATTCATAGTACATATATAGCTTATTATTAATTATAAATAATGTAATTACTGATAAGTTTATTACCTAGTTCTTTAGCTAGCGAGAGCGTGGCGTTACCAAAGAGAGGTACTTCCGTCATACATCTTGGACAAGTAACGCTGCTCATATTTTCCACGATACCAGCGACAGGAATGTTCAACTTCTTGAACATATTCGCACCTCTTCTGGTCACCTCTAGCGCAACTTTTTGCGGTGTCGTTATCAGTAACGCACCAGTGATAAAGAGAGTCTGAATCAAAGAAAGATGTGTGTCTCCTGTCCCAGGAGGAGTATCAATAACAAGGTAATCAAGTGGTCCCCATGCTACCTGATTTATTAGCTTATCCAATGCGCTCATCACCATGAGTCCCCTCCAAATAACTGGTGATTTCTCATCAATTAAAAATCCCATAGACATACTATATATGAAATATAAGATTATAAAGTATGACCCCCATTTATTTGATTATCTGAAGCATCTGATAGTTAATCACCATTTTACACCATAATTTACAAGAGGTTCCATGAAATTCTCTTGATTTAGAGCAGGTGATTCATGTATATTCATCATCAGAGGTACAGAAGGTCCAAAAACATCAGCATCCAGCAACCCAATGGACTTCCTTGGTTCAATAATTTTTAGAGCAGTTGCTAAATTCACAGCTGTTGTCGATTTCCCAACGCCACCTTTACCAGAGGCAATAAGCAAAATTTGTTTCACTTCTTTTATGTGTTTCCGTTTTGGAAGGCCACGTGCCATGATTTCTTTTTGTCTAGTTTCTAAATTCTGTTGCTTGATCTTGGTTGAATCAATTACTGTACTGTACTGGAATAAGTAAAAAACAGAAATAACTGACAATGACAAAGCTGTTAATAAAATAATTACCAAACTTTATACTAAATTATAATTAATATATAATTATAACTATATAACTATAATTAATCTTCCTATAATTATATTTTTACTCCCTCCATCTACAATCTGGATCTTTCTTCTCCAGACAAGTTTTTTTAAAAATCTATTCTAGGCTTTTACAAAATGTGAAAAAATTTAGGGTTGCTCTTCAATATCTCTACTACACAATCAAACAATTTTTCAATTGAAATGTTAAAATCTTTATTTTTTACAAATTAAAAAATGAAAAAATTCGAGAGTAAAATTTCGCTTGTGACAAAAAAGACTCAAATTGCAGAACAAGAATTAACAAATCAATTTAGAGGTTTAATTATTATATAAAACCCCTTTTTAAATGTTAATTCCTAATATCACATCATCGATGTACAAATAAATTAAAAATCAAACATCTCTGTCTGAGAAAAGGTTAAGTATAAGACTTCATGTGCAGTTTCAAGACACTTTGTACACAGAATTGCAGAAGAATAAATGTACTTACTTGCCGTTGCCACAGATACCGAAGGGATTTTAAATATCCGCTGAAGCGTAACCTCACGATAACATTCGACATTTTCATCGACATGTACCTAAGCTAACCTCAGCGGCATTCAAAACGTGCAGTGCATTTTATCGTGAAGTGAATATATATACATTCAAGAAAATACCAGTATGTAGAGACGTGTTAATGAAAAACATTTCGAAAATTCGTTATCTGTCCATTTTCTTGCATGACAAATAGTACATAAAAGCAATTCGAAAAATTGTTCCGAAAAAAAAAACTCTTGAACGTGACACGAGCTTTCGTCTAATGTTCCTATAATCAAAAACAAAAATTGATCGACAAAATGTTCGCCGTCATTCCGTCAATATTTTTTCAACTCTGCCGCCAAATTATTTCCAGTTCGTCTTCGCTAGTTACACTTGCGCTTACACAACGTAAAGAAAAAAGTCATGCACATACACTCGCATCATCTGATCATCCCTTGATTGTCCTAACCTATACGTTTTCATCTGTAATTTCATTTCCGTTGTGTCGAACAACAGCGACTTTCGCATAAATCGAGATTTTATCATGGTTTTTTTTTAATTTTTTATTTTATTTTTTTTATTTTTTTACTCTCAGGAAGGAAAACGTGTTCGATAAAGACCGATTTAGATCGTTAGGTTAGGTTAGAGTTACGTCGCGCACTTCGTAACGGGCTGCGCTTATTTGTGCTTTTGGTGTGCTGTGAAAAAAAAATGGCAGCCACTTAGTCAACTTTCTGTCGAGCGCGAGCAATTGCGTCGCGATTTCCTGCAACCGTATTGTACACAGTCGATTTTTTTTCCCTTCCAAATCGATGATGACGAAACGTACGTTTGCTCACGAATATTTTTTGTACCTCGTCCAAAACGTAATTTGCCGATAGCGGCCGCGATTGAAGGTCGAAACAATCTCCCATGAGAGGTTAAGATAGGGATTGATCTCGAAATTTCTTGCAAAATTAAAGCTCTCGCGAACCTGAGATTCCCTCCTTTCTCTCGATTAGGATGACATTAGCGGCGTGACAAATTGTGCAGGTGAAGAACGTCGCATTTGACCGCAGGGAAGACGGAATATGGGCCTAAAGGCAGCCGTTCAGGCTCTGAAGTAAGATTCGCTCAATCACAAATATCATCAATCGTAAACGCATCATCGATTACGAATACGTAAATTTGTCTCTTGAAACTGCGTTCCATTAATGTGCAAAATACATTTGATAGGAAAGCAGAACCGTTAAAGGACAAGGTTCAACGTTGCAAGGATCTGCTTAACGACAACGATGCCTGGGTATGCCAGCAACAATTACAAAAGATATATCAGCAGGTTCTCATACTGGATCTGGAGTATGCCTTGGATAAGAAGGTCGAGCAGGAACTGTGGAGTCTTGGATTTAAGAATTATATAGTGACTCTGCAGTCGCAGGCCAAGGACAGGAAGAATCCCAAGCGAGGCGAGTCCCAGGCACTGCTCAGTTGGTGCCTAGAAGCAGCCAGTGGTTTCTACTTGACCTTGCTACAGGAAATTTGTACTGTGTTTGATTTAGATCTACCGTTTAGAAGGTACATATCTTTTACACAATTTTTCCTTATTTTATTTTGGAGTACTAAACGTGTTATTTTAAGCTTTTATGTATTGGAATTCCGGGTTGTCATTTTTATCATATTTTTTGCTTGGAATCTTACTTTGTATAAAATTAAGTTGTAACATGAAATAAGGATCAAGATTGAATTTAGAATCCTCCAATTACAAGTCGATTACATAGAACCTGTATCACATCCTAAACTATAATGTGCTCTGCTTCATGTTTCTTGCTTACTACTGCTTTTATTTCTTACTTTTTTGCCTCTTGTTTCTTCTTTTTTTATTGCCTGAGATAAAAGTAGATGAATTTTGGAAAAGAAACACAATTTGTAAAAAAACAATCACAAAAAGGGAAAAAAAGTAAAAGATAAAAATGAAGAAACAGGAAGCAAAGCATGTTGTAGATTAAGCTTTAAATTTATTATTATTGCTATTATTTGGAAATTATTACATATTCTAAGAAACTATACAATATTATGATTTATTTATTTGCTGTTATTTTGAGATATGCAGATTATGTTTTTATTAAAATTATTTCTAATATCCTATATAAGAGATGACAGTTAGTGATCCTTTTGAACAAATAGTTTGGATGTTATTTTTAATAAATTTAGATTGTCGAGATTATATATATAATTTTATATATATAATCAAAAGGACACAATCATTTCTTTGCAGGAAAGGTTACGTGTATGGATGTACATCTCCATGGAAGGCGGTTGAGAAATTATCTCCACCTCACAAATCTTCTTGCTTTTATGCTTGCCAATATTGCCTTGTACATCTGGGTGATATCGCACGGTACAGAAATGAGAGCAAACAAGCCGAGATGTTTTACAGACATGCTGTCTCACTGTCGCCATCAAGCGGACAGCCATATAATCAATTAGCGCTTCTAGAAGCTTCTCGTGGCAATAAATTGGGCACGGTGTTTCACTATGCACGTTCAGTAGCTGTGAAACATCCTTTCCCTGTCGCTACAGCAAATCTTGCTACGACTCTATCCTCTGCTTTGAATGACAAATCGTTCAATATCGACGGCAAGACTAAATTGAATTCTCAGGAGTATATCACTGTTTTTCTGAAGCTACATGGAATCATCCATATTCTTGGCGATTTGAAGCTAGCATGCTCGTATAGCAAGCAATTGACGGAAACGCTGACTGCGTTGGTAGCCACTGAGAGCTTCAGTTCATGGATGCTCGTACAGATGTTGGTGATTAATCTATATGCTTTGCAACATACAGCCGGGATTGGCACCGATAATGTGGAATTACTCAAGAACGAGCAAATGGTGAATAATAAAAAGCTCGCTCGCGACTGTATACTGGACCTAATTGCAGGTACTCTGTCTGCCTTGCTGTTACCCGTTTACACGATGAAGAACTCTATCATCGAGTATTTTGCCTTGCCTTCTAGTAAGTACTGCATGTATTGCAATTTTTTAATGAGATTAGTAAAACGGATTATGTAACAGATAACATTCTCTTTTTTTTTACAGTAAAACTGTGCCTTGATTGGATCAACATAAAACCAACGGTTTTGGAAGAAGTTGCTTTTACATCAAGATTACAGATATGGCCCAGTCTTTGTGTGCTTTTGAATGCCTTGCAGAATTGCGTAGTGGATTTTAAATATGATGAATGTAAGTGACTGAATTTTATTTATTATATAGGTAATTTATATACATATCTAATAAGTGAATTTAAGAAGTAAGAAAGTCTATTGTGAAATATATTATATTTCACAATATACGAATATTTCAAAATGAATTATTATATTATATATAATAATTTGTTGTATTCACATATACACATAATTTGCACTCTAAAGAATGTGGTGCATATGTTTATGGATATATAGGATATACATTAAAATATAATAATATATGATAATACTACAAAGTTACATGGAACAGATGTTGCAGTACCACTGCCAGAAGATCGTGACCTTCAAGGTTTTCTACCATTAGAGAAGAGTTTCGAGAATCTCAGATTCACGAATACAGCGTTGGAAGGTGATATCGCGACATTAAACAAATTACGGGCGGTACGCATTTTGCATCTGGGTCATTGCTTCGCTCAGTATCAAATCAATGGATCAACACCAATCTCAATTATGACGGAGGAGAAAACCGGTGATCACAAATTCACGTCTATGAGTAACGGCGCTGGGCCCAGCAACGAATTGATGAAGGAACTTGAGGAACTTAGTTTAAACAAGGACAAACAGCTCAATACTTCGATGAGCCCAGTACTGTCCGAAGCAGCTAGTAGCAAGAGTTCTGTAGAAACCGATCTTGAGATTCTTGCAGATAAGAAAATTTTCCAAGGTATTCTTAAACCGCAAGGCTCCTTAGAAAGAAACCGAGATTCCTCAGTGAATACCGCAGAGACAACGAGCAACAGCGAGATAAATTCTCTTCCATGTGCAAGAAAACCACGACAGAATATAGCAATGCAGGCAATTATGCGTCGTGCAGAGAATGAGCAGAAACAGGTGACATTCAAGAATGTATCACCTGTAATTGTTGAAGAAGAAAGTGATAAAAAGTCAAAAGTAGTGACCGTTCCATCGATTACTTCTGTTGCAAACAAATCAACACCAATTCCAGAAATATCCAAAGTTAATGAACCTGCCAATACAAATAACATCCTTGTTAATGTTCAGAATCGGCTATCGGCGATGCCACTCGCTCCGTCTACCAGTCCGAATCAATCTTTGTTGATTCAGAATCAGCAAAGATCCACAAAATTGCCACCTAGCATTCCCATGGCCAATCAAATAAATCAATTGACAGTCAAAGAGCAACAAACTCAGCAAGTTGCTCAACAAATTCTTCCGCAAATGCACACTAGCATGACGTCGCAGTGCGGTCAACAACCGTCGACATTGGGATCGGTTTGCTTCTCGAATCAATCGTTCAACGTGCAGAATCCGCAATTCGCTAAGAACTTTATGGCAAATCGATCGCCACTGGCAAACACGCCGCGTTATCAAATGCAAGGGCAACTCAATAATAACGGCCAGCCGGTTCCAACGATGTCACAGGGCATCAATGGAATACATCATACAATTAGTCAAAGCAGACCATTGCATCAGAGGGTATCACAGACTGTATCTCATAGTCCAGCGCAGTTATTGCAGCAAAACGTACAGCTGGGATCATCTGCTCAACAAAATATGATACCGCAAAGCATGAATTTGCAAACCAATAATATGGGACTGCAATCAAGTATAAGCATGGAACAACCAAATTCGATGGGGCTACAAAAACAGCAGACCATGATGCCGAGCAATCCCAGACCAAACGACATGCACAGTCAATTAAATATCAACGGTTCGAATATGGCAAATATGTCGGCAATAATGTCGGCATTGTCAGTATATGAAAAAGATCCTCAGCAGCAAACTTTGACGACGTTGGCGAATTCGCAGAGCCCGACAACCAACACGTCAAATTTTCAGTTGAACTTCACTCATTTCAATCAGAATCAATCCTTTGGACAAACGTTGTCACAAAGTCAACCATCACCATCTTTTTACAAGAAGAATTCAGACCTAATAGATTTTCCATTCCCGAATCAGGTCAATGTAACTAAGAATCAGCCACAGCAACAGCAATCTGTGGCGAACAGTTACATGTTCTCCAATTACGAGCCGACTGAGCACTTTAACTTGTGGAAGGACAGTCGACCACCTCAACCACCGATTGCCTGGTGGGGTTCGGCTAACAATGCAACGACCCAGATGCACATGAAGGATTCGATCACTAATGATAACACGTTCTCGAACTGGAGCGATTCGTCCACTCTGGCAAATACGGCGAGTAGAATTCCGTTGACACCAGGCAAAAATTATCAACCGCAACAACAAAACGGACAACATGGCAGACATCTTATGGCAGGAGGAAGTAACTTTGAAGATTCCAGATTGTTTGAGGTAAGTTCGTTATTTAAAATACAAGTGTCTACGACAACATTTTGTGCAGTATAGAGACAAATAAGCGAGAAATATTTCTATAATAAATGTCAGAAGACTTTCAAACTTTAATATAATTTAAAAATTTTTTAAATTAATTTTTATATCACATATAAAAATAATGCATGATATAATAAAATCTTTTGAAATCATGATGTAATAATTATTTAATAATTTTAATTCAATGTATGAAAATTATAAGATTTATTTAATATTAAAGTTAGATTTTCTTATTTTGTATTAAAATTTATCTTATAAATATTCTGTATTTTGAATAACTAAAAATAATAATGTTCTAGCTCGAACAGAAGCCGTCCCAAGCAATGAGCACCGGCAATACTTACTCCTTGTTCAGTGGCAACACATGGAGTACCGTTAATACATCGATTAATTCGGGCTCAACCAATCAAGATCCAATGAAAACACGGCTCCATCAGCAGTCTCTGTGGTCCGGCCCGGGTCCTTCCCCGTTAGAGCGGCTTTTGGAGCAACAAAAGTCGCTACGCGAGGGAGGTACCACTTGAAGGGACGCGCGGAGGATCCGCTGAGGAGGCCAAGCAGAGTGTAATTTCGCGTTTAGCGTATGCCGATTTAAGTAACCACAAGCGTGCGCGGCGGCGAATAATTACCTAATCATTTGACAAGAGATATGCAAAATTCTCAAAAGATATGTAAGGAAAGAGCGGATAACTGAGGATGACCGTGGTGCAGCGTCTTCCTCGAAGCATTATGATATGCACAGGGGTAATATAATCTTCGTTATTTTTCAATTGCACATACGAGATCTACGAGATACTCGGTATATACATTTTCGGAGTGGATTTTTTGCAAATTAAGCAAAGCAAAGCGAAAGACAAATGTTTGTCGAATGGCAATTCACAACTGCAATTTAATTCGTATGAAAATAAATAGAAAAACAACAAGAAAAGGTATTAGAAGTGCGAAAGTTGTGGTAGCTCTTAGCAAAACGTTAATTAGTATACAGGAAATAAAGGAAAATGTAGACACTAATTACGAGTGACGCGCGCATGACTTTGTATCTTTGGCGTATTTAGAAGACTCACAATAAACACGTCTGATTTATCGAAACTGATCGAGCGGCGCGCGTTATGTTTCAACTTTACAACATCCCGAATGCAAAGATTGTATACTTTGAAAATCAGACGGATGGACAACAATTATGATTGAATTCATTTTTAAAGTAATAACTTTATTTCGTATATAGAAGTATCATACATTAATAACATTTCTGTCCGTAATATTATATGTAAGTTGTATCACATACGTCGTGACTACACAATGCATACATCACGAAGTTTTCCTTCGTTTCGTCGCGATAAAGTTCTTGAAATTCTCATTCTACATCAAAACTTCTGATATTAATTTACTGAAAGAATATATAGGAAGCATTTCAGGCAAAAATACACAAGAAATACTTTTTTCCCTTCCTATTTTTTTTTTACAAACAGAACTGCCTAACTGCGGCTATAACAAAGTATTAAATTAAAAACGTTTGGTGGAAAAATTGTACTATCTTATATCTGTGATTGCATCTATATCTGCAATCCGCAATAAAGCCAGTCTTTTTTTAATCTTTTTAGTTTATCAATTAGGCAGTACTGAGAGATACAAATCTAAAATAATCTAAAAGTATACTATTTTCTCGATGAACATTTAAATTGCTTGAATTACTTACATCGACAGTTATACAAATACAGAAATCGGTAACATAATGAATAATTAAAATTGTTTCATGTTGAATTAAAAGATAAATTCCAGTTATTTATATAAAAAGATTACATATTACAAAAAAATCAATCGACGAAATAATCGTTTTACTATCTAATCTTTTTCTTTATACAATAATGAATTATATAGTTTTTTTTAATTACTCATTATGTCATCACGAGCATTCGTTGGATTATTTTGCGCGGCGATTGTTCTGTAATCAACTCTACGTTTTATCGTTAGATTGCAGTGAAAAGAATTTTTATGATCAATTAAGTGACGCATGTTATCCTCGCGTATGCGCAAACAGTCATTTGAAAAAAGACATTGCCTTGATGCTCTGCAAGATTTCACCTGTTTGAAAATATGAGTTGTATTAACATGTCATGTTATTATTATCTTCAATGTTCGTAAAATGCTACTTCAAAAATTCTGTTAAAGAGGTCTTATAATTATTTATAAAAAGTATAATTATGATCTTTTAAAATATTAAATATATTTAAAAAAATCAACGCCTTATACAAATAACAATGGATATAATCTTACCTGGCCATTGTAAGAAGCATTAAGTTCCCCAATTACTTCAAATATATATGTGAATTGTTTACATACAGCGATGCAATTGACAATTTGTAAGGAAGCCATTAGACCACCCATACGATTTATGGAGATGTTTAAAAAAAATAAGCCCATTTCTTTGATATGGAATGCAAAATCGTAATCTCGATCTAAGATATACTCCAGATCCCATTTTCTTCGTAATACATTATCTTTTGCGTTGAACTGTAATTTCAATTAATCATAACAAAATTGCAATTTTGCTTAATTATAATGTTAAAAAAATTAATTTCAATCATATTCATAAATTTGATTACGTGTTATACCTCAAAAAATACATCTTTATGGTGATATCTCAAATGGCCAATCATTCTTCCATGTGGTAGTTCCGTTATACAAGATCCAATACGACATGGATATGATCCTTTTCCTACTCTAGGCGCCAAACTTAATATTGATTTTTGTTGTTCGTTTCTTATAATAATTGGTATAGCTTGATTCACAGATTCAGTTTGAGAAGCAGTGGAAGGCATACAAATATTATCAGTTTGAGTAGCTGCACAAATCTTATCATGTAGGACTCTTCTATTGAGAGCATGATATGGATGCAACAGGGATAACTAAGAAACAATACTTTTATTTAGAATTATATTATCCTAGTCACACAATGTGTATATACATATATAATATATAT